AGCAATGTGTTCATTGTAATACAGAACTGTTTGGGGGCTTTTTCGGTTTACTGGGAATCCCCCAAATGTGACGAATGGAGTAACGACGAACTACTCCAAACAGCTGGATACCAATCGTTGTTCAGTCATTTCCAGGAAAAAAAATTAACAGGGACCGGATCAACATGTAAACTTCTGTTAATTTGTCGGTAAATTTGGAACATTTTTTACTGTTAGACATTCATCTACATTTAGTTGAATGATAATAATCTCGGGTAATAATCCCCTCTAAGGGGATTATTACCCGAGAGGAAAGTATCGACTTACAATTTAAGGTATCGAACAAGTCAGTATCCGAAAGTTAATACAGATAGATTCAAGAACTCTTTCATTAATCGCTTAATTTTTAAATACAATTTAGCTGTGTGAGTTTATATTTTAGATATATTTAGATATTTTATATATACATTTTACTCAAATAATTGTAACATAAGATATGTATTTTTTATCTTGTGGAAATAAAGACTACTACTACTACTAGTCCGTTTAAGACCAAATAAATTTAATTTCGGCGTTTCGTTGTGACCTGGGATTAGTTTTTTCCTCTGGCTCGTTTTCCCCTTTTTTGCCCGCAACGAAACGCTATGAAGTCCTGAATCTTTCTCGATTGTGCGAGAAAACAGATTCCACCCTCCACCAAGTATACATATGATTAGCCATTTTATTTCAGTTAATCATTTAACTGGATCAAGACTTAAGCATCAAGTTCTAAATCATGAACTAGATATTACTACGGTTAAATCAACTTGAAACAGAAAAACTTACTGGCTTTGATTAGTCCTAGCTTATTACGGCTCCCCTAACCAGAGTTAACCCTCTATTAACTCTGTCCTAACTACTTAATTGGGTGAATGAAGGGGGTAATTTTCTAAAGAAACTGTAGTGCTGCGTCAGTTGGAAAGTATAACAAAGTAATTTTGGCTTTATCGACTGATTGAATCATGTAAATTTGCCACCGCAAAGGAGGGGGGCTTTGGGATTTTCGGTTTTGACTGATTTTTGGATCGGTTTTTCGGTTTTTGGGCCAAAAAGGTTCGGTTTTTCGGTTTTCATGTTCAGAGCGGTTTGCGGATTTACACGTTTTTGCATTCGGTTTTTACGAAAACTCTGATGCGGTTTCCGGTTTTTCCTTTTTGACCCCTATAAAGGTGAAAGTGTAGCGATTTTGTCAGGTTTGTGTGCGGTTTTCGGTTTTGCCGCCTTTTTTCGTTGGTTTTTCGATTTTGGAGGTTTTTTCTCCGGTTTTGCGGTTTCCCAGGGGCTCCAATGCCCCCCTCGTAAAGAGTTTTGAAGCTGACGTTTCGCGCGTTAGCCTTGCGATTGATGTATTGCACCATCAGGAGTGGTAATACTCTGTCCATTAATGCTTATAAAACTGTTTCCAACTGGATGGCCATCTACTTGTAAGCTTAATTTACCTCTTTTTCAGGGAGAGACTTTCCATCATGGGCAAAAGGTTTGATCCTAGCAATGGAAAATGCTAGCTCCTAAAAACCTTCATGGAGGGAACAATTCCCACCAAGGGACATTATTACTTAACGTGAGTGTGCCCTTAAATGGACATACTAACAATAATCCATTTTTTTAACTTCTCAAAATAGAAACCTAAAAGAAAAATGAATAAAGGCTGATAGTTTCGAAAGAAACTCTTTGGGGCTGCGTCTGTGGGGGTAACGAAATAATTTAGATATATCACCAAAGTTGAAATGGTAAATTGGCCACCGTAACGATTACAAAAGTTGACGTTTCGAGAGTTAGCCCTTCGTCGGAGCGAATAGAGGAATTGTGGGTTGTGTGTGCTTTTAAAGGCAGAAAACGGAGCTACGGTATTGGTGGGAACATGGCAACGAGAAAAACAAGAATAAATTAGTGGAATGAAAAGCGTTTGTTGATCCCTGTGGGATTTAGACTGCCGGTTTGAAAGATGAGCTTTTGCTCAAGATTTTTACGGCTTTCCGTGCTACCTAAGTGCAAGGAAAGACCGCAGATTGCCATATGTTGCTTAGAATGATTAGGTAAATTAAAATGCCTAGCAACTGGTTTCGATGTGTCCTTGTCATTCCTTTCCACGTCTCGAAGGTGTTCTCGGAATCGGTCACCTAGTCTTCTGCCTGTTTCGCCGATGTATATCTTTTTGCAATAAGTGCAAGTTATGCAATAGATTACATTGGCGGAGGTGCACGTGAAGTGATCGGTGATCTTAATGGATCGTTTAGGTCCCGATATTTTATCAGTGTTGTGAATGAAAGGACACGTTTTGCATCGTGCACGAGCGCATTTAAAAGTGCCTGGTTGGTCATTAGTCTGAAAAGAACTTCTGACCAAAAAATTGCCTATGTTTTTGTCGCGTTTGAATGAAATGAGCGGAGGCTGCGAAAAGATAGTGCTTGTCTCTGGATCGTTTTGAAGTAATTTAAAGTTTTTAAGAATGATGGATTTAACTGAGTGGTTGTGAGGGTGAAACGTGAGAGTGAATGGAATGCGGTCGGAATCTTCCTTATGCGACGTTTGTAGTGCTGAATGTCGATCNTTAACATCTCCTACCCCTAACCCTGCGGGAGACGGGGCCTACGGTTTATTCATCCTTGTTCGAGAAGACTAGAATATCTATCCATTTCTTGATTATAGAAAGGTAGCAAAATTCTCCTCACTTATTTTAAGACCATGAGTATTGGTCCGGCTGGGGCTTGAACCCTCGACCTTCTGCACAACACAATCTGGTGCTCTAACCAATAGAGCTAACCCGAGATGATGTCACCATTAACAACATTTTGCATTCTTGTCATATACAACAAATAGATTCCATTTTGCCATGGGTCTGTACAGAAATAGATAAAAAAAGGGGTTTCATTAAGGGCCAGGCACTGGGCAAATTGAATGGTGGTGAGGACAGTTTTTCCCACCTGGTTTGACCATCTGGAGGAAAGTTTATCGTATGAAGAAGTTAAGTTCAAAAAGTTTTACCACCTGTGAAAGCCAGTTGCCTTACTGCTGAAAATGTTAATGAAACCTCTGAAAAAATAGATGCTAAAATGTGGTAAGAACATGAGCAACACACTCACGTGCCACTTTTTTTGGTTCTTACCACACTTTGACAAAATCTGTGACTTATTATTGAACAGATGCATGGCAACATGGAGTGAATTTGTTAAGTGACAATGACAATGGCCATTTCACCGTAGACAGAGTTGAGTAAAGTATAGTTACAGTGACTTCACTAAGACAGATAACTATAAGTGGTGGACATTGAACTAGCACTTCATCACCATGACTAGCTGGCCCATGGGAAGAAACCCCAGTCTATTCTAATGATGCTTTTCTGATGAAAGAAACAATTCTGATCAAACTATGTATGGTCTATCATAACAACATGGTCTATTTACAAACTTTATTTGTCACTGTTCCTGTGTTGAAAATTTGTATTAATTCAATTTAAACTCTATTTTGGCAATTTACATGATTAACCTTAAATGGAAACTAGGGATTTCTCAATTTCCAGCTCTCTAAATGGCCAGCAGTAAAATAAATTCATAAGCTATACAGTGTTTTCCTCTTAAAACGTAAGGACAATTTCCCGTTAAAGTGTTTCAATATACAGAGTAAAGTAGCCACAATTATTTAAAGTGAGAATCAGTTACTGATTTTTGTTGAGATCGCATGCATGGATGGTACCTTAAGTTCAACTTCTACATTTACGAATGTCAATTGATCGCCATGTTGTCCTCTGCTTTTTCATCACGTGATGTGCTTGCTGAGCTTATCAAATGAAGTTCGAATGTTTGATCATGCTGACATTGTGTATTTCACTTCGATCATTAACAGTCAACTTGACAAGCCCGTACAGCGAGGACCAATAAGAGAAGGAAAAGGGGAACGTGTATTACAGCATAATCTCTAACAATGTAGTTTTCCAGTCGATGACAGAGAAGTATCTTATAACTTAGCAACAAAGTCAACAGCAGTAAGCTCCACGCCGTTCTTTTTCCCGCTAAACGCCTATCACCTATCAAAAAGAGTCTTATGAAAACGATTGCTGTGAAGTACGCCACGCATCCATCGCACGCAAACAATGGAACAAACACTGTCCACCATGACAAAGTTCCGCCTTCCAATTTCACGGCAACCAGAACTGAAAATACAAAAATTGCCACAATATGAAGCCACAGCTCGAAGATGGATAGTCCCAGCCATTTGATGACTTCTTTTAGCGTAAAAATCATTCTACGAAAATCGTCTTCGCTGATAGACAAGTCACAAATTCGTGCTTGATGTCAAGTACCAACTTTTTTCCATGGTTCAGCCGCCATTTTCATTGTCGTTTTGAACGCTACTCGCCAGCACTTCTGGGTAGTTCACATTTGACTAAGTAGGAGGGGGTAGGGAAAACTATCTAAAATGAAACTCATTTTGATCTAAATGTAGAATCAAGGTTTTTTCACAATTTAAAATAGAATTTGCAAGTTGAAGTTGAAATTATGAGCAATTAATATTTGAAGGGAAAAGGGTTAGCCTTTTATCTCTTGAAGTAAAAAAAAAAAAAAAAAAAAAAAAAAAAAAGAGAGATTTTCTCAACCTACCCCTCCCTCAAGACAAGAGAGATTGGCGCTAATGTTCAAATGGGAGAATTTTCAAAATGGCGACTAAGTCACAGAAAGATTGGGTTTCTCCACATAAGGTATCCCTTTTGACTCTCATCAAGCTTATGAGCTCCCACGACGAGGAAGACGAAGAAGATTTAGAATGTATAAAAAGATGCAGACATAAACTATCTTTGGTTTTATTGGAATTGATTGAGGTAAAGTACAAGTAAATACATGGGGAATTAGGTAATTGGTTTCTTTGTACCTTTTATTACGAGAGGTTGCCTGATCGAACTAATGCAGTGGTGAGTGTTAATACTCTGCAACCGCTATTTCTTGCTCTCAGATTCCAGATTTAGAATTGACTGAGTTATGCAAGCGGCTTAACGCGGTGGATGTTGGCCTGAAGGACCTGGTTCTGAAAAGGTCAAACGATCTAATTAAATTAATTATTTTTAAAAAATGCTTTATGCAGACGCGTGTTCTTGTTTTTAGATTCATTTTTTAAGGAGAGATTTTTGACATTATTAAATCCTTAAAACTGTTTTTAGCTTGTAGAACATAATGTTGCATTCAGCCTTTAGAGCCCAAACATTAGTATGCATATTCTCCATACTGTTCTCTATACATTTGTTAACGAGTTGACAAGGAGAATTTGTTCAAAAATCAAGCACTTAAGCTGGTGATCGTTCATCCCTGTGATATGTGTGATTTGGGGTGATATTGTATAGAGAATTTACATGTTAGTTGCTCTTTGGGAATGAGCATTGGAGAGCGTGATAAAGTAATGTGGGTGGCGAATTATGTGGTAGCCTTGACTGTATTGAAAAATCGAGACTTTGTACGTCTTTGGCTCAACAACCATTCCTTGGAACAAATAAATTTTCTGATTTAAGCCNTGAGAATTTGACTTTGATCTGAAGGTCTGTTCACAAGACGAATGACTTTATCATTTAACAAGATGACATTTGGCCAAGTTAGTCATTTTGTGGATCAACTGAAGGTTTATAAGGGAATGGAAACATTTAAGCATGCTACAGATAAAGAGGAGTTGGATGCCAGCTTAGATGTGAGCATGCAGAGTACAGAAACCCTAGATGAAGAAGAAGAAGTTATCAGCATGTCTAGGTCAGCCTTAAGGTCTTGTTATTTAAAATACTTCTGGAACTTTTTTTGCAATTATAGTAAAGTTACTTGTAACTTGGCATAATCAAAAAAAGTGTTATAAAAGAAGTTGAAATACTAACTTTTGGTAGTGTCTTAAATTGCATATGACTGCTTTGTGACTTCCATTTCGTACAATGGGGTAGAAAGGCAGATAGGGGGGTTGGGGTGTAAATCAACTGAAAAGAAAAGACTATGCTTGGATACTTAGATGACAAAAAAGGTATGGGATTTTTCTCTTTGGACAGGCTTAACACAAAAGTATGTTTCTAGAGAGGTCATCCTTTCCAGTGTTCAACAAATGTTTCCATCTTATTGCTTGCTTGGAATATCAGGGATTGCTACTGAAGCCAAGTTTGCATCATTACCAAGCAACGTTACCCTTTTTTTTTCTTTCTTTCTTTTTTTTTTTCGAGGCAGGGAGGGGGGGATATGGTAGAGTCTGAGGATCTCTTGCCATATTGAGATTGCAAGATGCAGTTTATCAATACCGATACAGACTGGGCAAAAGTTTAAGTAACAATGTTGTCATTTTTACTAAATTTCTAATAGTATGGATTCTGCTTTCTGATATAGATCCTTTATAGTCTGAGAATCATATTGATCAGCACTAGACATGGAAAAAAATTGTTATCAGTAGCCATGTCGATTAGTATGCTTTGTACTTTGTGAATAAGAAAGTATAATTTCCTGGGGTCTTTTAGAAATCCTTTCCTCCATGGTCCAGTTACAAACAGGCAGGCAGAGTTTTTTCTGGCAAATCAGGTAATATAAGACATAAAATGTAACTTAGCATTTAATAGAAAGTAGAGATCCATTAGTAGAATTCTTTAAAAGTATATGCAAACTATGTCAAAGAAAATCAGCAAAAGGGCTAGGGCTGTCTGGGTTTGACATGCATTTGTTGAGGTCAAACTTCATTCGGGTTTTTTTGATAATTATGTTAAATGTTTTTGGGGATTGAAATGTTTTATTGCCTTGAGTGTTTGGGTTTTTGTTTGTACAGTGGAATGGAAAATAGACTTTCAACCAGGGATGAAATTGAATCACAACTTATTGTACGACATGAAGTTCACTGCAGTAAAAGTGATCATGTTGTTTCCTAGTTTTTAGACTTTTGTGGGGCATTTAAGTATATGGAAGGGGTTCTCAGACACTGGTCACATTATTTTGCATTTTATTTTACCCAAGGTTTCTCTGATACAGACCACTGAACAAGAGGCCTTATCACCCCCTGAACTGCAGTTAAGAATAGCAGATATTTTAACAGCTTCTCCCGACATTGCTGAGATTGTAAGTCTTCTATGTTCATCTATAAACCTTTTAAAGAAACAATGGATACAGAATTACAGTGCTAAATTTGCTATTAGATCCTTTACTAACTAAAGTAAGCTAGAGAGAACACATTGGCAAGCCAGTCCACATGGTAGGTCCATAATTTTGTGTGATGTGCCTTGCATACTCCCATTTTTATCTTGAGCCAGGTGCTTGCAACTGATTAAAAGTAGTTGGTAAAATCATGCTGTTTATGTATGTTTCTGCATCAACAGCACTACACAACTTTTCTTAACTGTCTAAGAGCTAAGGAATTCAAGGGAGCACTTGACAGCCTCTATCATTATTTTGATCGACAACAATGGCATGGGGAGTCAGCTATAAAAATAGCCTCAAATTCCGAAGAGATAGAGCCTGAGAAGTGCCACAGATTCAGATATGCTGCCCTGAACCTGGCTGCATTCCACTGCCAATTTGGTCACAGGTATGATGACTGGGGGGGCCATGTAACACAGATTAACACATGGAGAGTGTCATGTTGAAGACCTCCTGTGGTCACATTCCATCTGGAATAAATCTAGCCAACCGCCCTTCACTGACAGTTCTTTTGACAACTTTTTCAGTCCTTTTTGAAACTACAGTCTCTTACTGGGTGTACTGAAGAGGCACTGATAGAGAGATGGACGGCTAATTTATTGGGGCAATGGACTCAGGATTGAGAGAGAAAGATCGAGAGATCTAGGGATGCTGCTCTGTCACAGTGTCTCTTTCCACTTATTAAGAGAATAATTAAGTACTAGCAAACTCTCAAGGAAACCTTGCAAAATGTGTGGGGGTAAACTGCGATAAACTAGCCCAGGGAAAACAAGAGAAACTTCCAGACACCTAATGCTAAAGAAACTGGGATAAGCTGCTATAACTCTGTGAGTCAGGCTTGTATTCATTCTTAACTAATGTTAGACTATTGTGCTCATGATGAACCTAGGATTGATCAAGAGAAACTTTGGAACAAATTTCACATTAGATTTGCTATGTCTGTAAGGATAGTTAAATATGGTTGTTATTTAGTGAGACGAGTGGCATTCCAAACTGTTTTCAGGGAAGAAGCATTAGCTGCTTTGAAGGAAGCAATTCAAATTGCACAGGAAACCAATGATCATGTTTGTTTGGAGCATTGCTTGGCAAGTAACATTTCACCATTGTTGAGTTCTGTTCTTTTAAAATTAAAAAGTAAAAATATCAAAAAGTTTATTTTCATTGCCAAATGTCTACTTTGTAGCAAGAAATGTATTGAGTTAAGTTTAAAAGGAAACTGCAGGGTTTACAGCTTGGCTCTGTTGGAAAAATCAAACTTTTTGTAACAAAAGAAAGTTTTTCAGTCAGTATTTTATTCTAGACTTTTTACAGGAGTATGATTCTCAGTACACTTTTTCATTTCATTTATAAATTTGTTGATTTTTGATTTTTGGCTTCCACAGGGATGGCTTTATCGGTTAGAAATGAATGGCTGTTCTCAAGCAAAGCTTTTGTTGGACAGATTTGTTACAAGAGCCACTGAACTCAAAATTCCTGTAAGTAGAATTAAGGTGGTTTTTTTTAAAAATAATATTTGGTAGTAATTATAAACAATGGTTCCCAATTTCGGCTGTCGGTAATGTGACCGAGGCAGGTTCTGATGTTGTTATTTGAACAACGAGACAGACTTATAGCCACAATAAAATTTATTTATACAGGAAAGTACAAAAGAAATAATACTGATAAAAAGAAAGGGTGATTGCAAGCTAAAAGAAATAATAAATGACAAATAACAAATCAATAATTTAAAATAATGAAATAAAACAATTAGTAAAAAATACAATC